ACCAAACTAAAATACTTTGTGCAGCATGTTGCGACTATAAACAACTAGGTTTGAGCCATTTGCCTTGCTTACTGGGGATCCACAACAGTCAGAATTACTATTAACACATTTACCAACTATGTTTATATATTATTGTTAAGCTTTATGTTTTAATTGTTTACTTCTCAGGCAACAAAAAGAATTTTATGACACATTATATTTAAGTTAAGATTTAAGTCTTGTCAACTTACAAGCGTGAAAGTGCGTTAAATATTGTGAAATTTAGTATTTTTCCAAGCAAGGCAGCAGTAGAACTCACATATAAATACTTATACAAATCTATGCATATGCATTTCCATATAAACTCGCCGGTTTGCATTTATGCTAGTTCTTGGGGTGCTCAAAGTGACTGGTTGGCGCGCGCATACAAAAGACTTAAGCAACGAACGCGCTCAAGCTTCATTACGCGCATGCGCGAGCTCGGAATTTGTAGTGCGTGTTAGACAGCGCAATAGTAATCAAAGCAGCATGTATTTGAGAGCAACAACTCAGGAGCATATATAGAAATATAAATACGTATGTATAAGTATGCATGCTAGTGCGTAATTATGCGTGCAAGCATACAAAACGGTATTTGCTAACAGCAGACTCATTGAGAAGACCAGCAGCACCTAACAATCTATTTGCTAGTCCAACATTGTCGATGCGCTACTCAAATCCTACTTTCTATAATTGGAGTACTCTATGGCATCTGTAGCCATTGTTGTTGTTGGCGTTAATTATTAGCTCGCGTTTTCGCTGCTAGCAAATTTCCATAACACACACCATTTAGTTGTTAAGTGTGAAATGTGTTTCACTTTTCAAATATGAGCAGAATATACAAGTGAAGAAAAGAAATAATCTGTCAACAATTAACACTTGGCAAATTATAAGTGAATTAGACAAGAAAGTCATTCACGCCATATAAATATTAACGAATGCAAATGTGTGTAAAACGTGTATGTATGTATTTGATGATTGTGTGATGGCGATTTTTCGTTTATCTAAAGTGTAAAATGTATATGTGTGTGCTTGGCAAGCATTTGATTAGCACCGCGTACTAAATTTCTCGCATTCTTGGTCGGCTAATGTGCGTTACTTGGCAGGAAGTCGCTTTTATGCATGTGCGTGTGTCGTGTGCAGCAAAAAACCTGCGTGAAGCTGTATTGTGTGCAATTATTTACAAGTTTTCTATATTCGAAACTAGTTTTTTGAACTGCAAGAAAGTAGAGATGATTAATACACTAATTGAAATCAAGTATCGTTATGCATTTTATATATATTTATAATGCATCAGATAGCAAGAAAATATACTCTTTTCTAATTGTATATATTTTTTATACCAGAAAGTAGAGATTTCAAAAAAAAAAACAAAAAAAAAAAAGCTTACTGACCTTTTAAAAAATCGGTTGTTTTGACGTGAGAATGTTTGATTGATAATTAGGTTTTTTTTAGATTTTAAGTCGAAATAAGGTTTACTCTTTTATATTTTAAATTATAAATAGAGTGTGTTTGGGACATAAGATGGGTAGCTTACTCCAAAAAAAACTTGAATATTTCAACTTTTTTTATATCAATTTTGAGGTTATGCGTTAACACAAAAGTTGTAGATTATTTCCTAAAATTTCGCCATATAAATTTTTATATAAGACTTGCTTTCTATAAGAAAATCAAGATAAACCGTTTTTAACCCTTAAAAATTCAACCACGCTCCTCATCTTCATCTTTCCGATCGCCCGTAAACTATTTTTCCTTTAATTTTTGTTATTTTATTTTTTGTTTTCAATAGATTTGATCCTACTATGACTGTTTTTGTTTTCAACACTTATTTACTTTTATTAAATCAAAACAATAGCTTTACACCCGCTATTGTTTTAATGTAATAAAAATTGGAAAAATAAAATGCTATAGTAATTATTTTGAACACCTCTCTGTATGGTATGTAGTTTGTCCAAAACATATTTATATTCTTGTTTAGTAAAAAAAAAATTATTATTATATAAAATATTATTTTATATTTATTTTATTTTAGCTTGATAAAAAATATTATTATTTTATAAAATATTATTTTATTATGCAGAGTACATTTTCGTAATTACTGCCTTTAAAGAACTTATATTTAGTTATTACTGTATTAATTTTGGCCTTGTCTTGCCTATGTTTATAACATACGAAATTTTGGTAAGAAAATTAATTTTATAATTTTTAACAGCTGGCAACTCTGTTTCGAAATGTATCCAAAATGAAAAATGTTTTTGTTAAATTTATTGCATTTGGAGTGCTATTTTGTGATAGCTCACAACTTTATTTCTAAATTTATTCAAGCAAAGAATGCCCAGACAATTTTCTAGAAGTTTTTTTTAAATGCAATATGTTTAGCAAAAAAAAATTTATATTTCCGTTATCCAGTTTTGATTATCACGATAGATGGACACCCAGCTTCGAATTTTGCACAACGCTTTTTTTAACTTTAACATACACTTTGCTTATACGCGTATTTTTCGACAGTTGGTAACCCTTGTCTAAAATAATAATACAAAAACAGTCGCAGTTCCAGTTGGAAATCAAATTTAAAACTATACCTTTTTAACCTAATGAGGTTTCAAAATAATAACTTATATTACACAAATAATCCCCCGAGTACAGATAGATTTTTCACAATTAACTTGTATGTGCTCTAATTGCAATTAAGTTTCTTCTAAGTGTAGCAACATTTATCACTTGCTGCTTTCTTCTACTGTTTACTCACGCACAGCGTACGAGCGCAAAATTATAAGTTAGATTATTGATAACAGTTTAGCGCTAATATATGTATGTAAAATATAATATACGGCTAGCAGCTTATATTCTGATAAAATCATGTTAATAAGAAAACTAAATAAAACAACATACTTGTAAGATATCAAGGCAGAAAACTTTCACTAGTCAAGTGCAACTCTAAATGATGTTAAAGAGAACAAATTCGCAAGTGTTTAAGGTAAGATTAAAATAGTTTATAGTACATAATGTATGCATATGTTGTAACACAAAAAAATATTTTATTTTTGTATGTGCAAGTGTAGAGATAAAATATGCAAACGTGTAAATGAAAGTAGATTTTAAAAATATGCGAAGAGCATGAACTCAAATATCAAAGAGAAGTTGCAAATTCAGCAATGAGAAGATATGATATGAAAAATTTATTTTTTAGATACTCGAAAATATCGAATTGAGTTTTCAAGACACATTTTTTGAAACTGATTATCCTTTATGTATTTTAATTGAAATATTCGAAAAGCAAAAAAAAAGAGAGATAACTGTAATGAGAGAAAATAATTACTATCCGTCAAACAAATATTTCAGGAAAGTCATATTTTTTCGAGTTGATATGCAGTTTTTCAGCTTTAGCTTTATCCTTCAAAGTTTTAGTATTTTTTCAATTGATTTAGTGCTTTTTAAAGAACTTTAAGAGTAAGGGAGGTTGTGATATGTATTAAGACAGCGTGCCGGTTCCGAAATCACACTCGTGTACTGTTTCTTACAAGAAAGTTCTTTGCGTTGCAGAAAACCTCTAAAGTAGGCTTTAAATGGACAAACGCCTTATGCTAAAGACAGACATACGTATTCCATACTGCAATGCATACTCCAAAAAGCTCAGGAAACGATGTAACAGCATAGTGACATACATATGGTATTTCATGGGTTTGACACTCATGCAAAAAAATTAAAATCAATTAAATGGAAATATATACAAGGAAAATTTATCTAAGCACATTTTAGTATAAATAAGATTATTTTGATGTATTCCATTTTAGTTTTTTTACTTTTATTTTGTATTTTAATTTTTCTGAAAATGTTAAAATTGCGGTAGACATATGTTTTTGACTGATGAGCTTAAAGCTTTGGGAGACCACATATGGTTTCCCTAGCATACTACAATATGAAACTTATGTCTGTCTTTTGCATTAAGCTAACACAAATCTTTCAACATAATTTATTTCGACTCTAGCCAGTTCGCTTGGTTAGATAATGGTGTGCAATCCACAAGTAGTTTTAACATTCTCGTAAAAGTAGTACAGTAAAGAAGAAGATAACAAGATAACTTTGTTTCATTTTATTCGAAACAAGTCTACATAGCCCTATAAGTATTTGATTTAATATACTACAAATATTGGATTATAATATGTTTCCAAACTCTTCAGACTCAATAATTTTTGGAATTTATATCAAATTGATAAAGAGAGTATGAAAAGTCTACAAGGCTATTAAAATTTTGGGGAAGGTTTTGAGCCCAAAGTATTAAGTAGCTCTTTATATGATAAAATTGAATAGAATTTTATGAAAATCATTGTTAAAGTCAGTTTAAATTAAATGAACGTTACGCTTTTTGAACTTTTTTGACATAAAATTATTTTAAATTTACATTTTTTCTGAGCATAATTCTCCTGGAGCGCTATTGAGAGTTTCAAAATTTTTAAACAATTATTCGATATTAGGTAGTCTATGGTGGTGCTCCTATTCCATCACAAAAATCTGTTTCCGGGAGTATTTTAGATTTTTGTTGTTATTTATTTTACAATTATCTGAACATTTGCTCTAAAAGTATAAAAAAATAGTTTCGATCCCATACCATCATCATTTTCCCAATATTTTTTTTTTAATTTTGATCGAACAATAACCGTTAAGCGCCTAATTGTGTCACAATAACCGTGGAGTAAATTAAATGTGTGTAGCCTAAAAATGTCAGCCAAAATAACAACTTGAATGCATGAAATAATATTTCGTACTCATAGTCTCTGAGTTTTGTTCGAATTCTAGAGAATCATGGCAAAGTACCACCAGTGTAATTCGGGCACACTTAATGAACCAAAACAAAAATACCAAAAAAAAAAAAACTACTTGACATGCGCTTTTCTATTGTCATTTTTCATACAACAACAAAAGGAAAATAAAAATAAAAATAATATTAAGAAGTAATAGAAGACACTTGATCGAACACTTACCACTGTTATTCACATCAATTGGCTTAAATCCATTTGTCACCTGCACTAATGCGGCCATTATACACACGGTTGTTAGCAGCCACATGGCGAAATTGCTTGATATTGATTTGGAGGTCAGCGCTTGTGCTGCTGTCGCTGGTGTTTTTGTTGTACTCACTGTTGCTGCTGTTGACTTTTTGGCATTCTTCGTTGTTGTTGTTCTTTTTGTGGATAGCCACGCGCTGTGGCGCGTCGCCGTGCTAACCCACTTCAGCATTTCAGCGCTATTCTGAATTGCAGATTAGAACAATTTTCACGGCACAGAAATTTGTCAAAAATATTACAACAATAAATTCGTTGCTTTGTTGCAAATTTGTTGTGTTTTTAATTTATTTTTATTGTCGTTTTGCTTGTTTGAACGGTTTTGTAAAATTTCTTCGAATAAGATTTTGCGGTCAAAACGCGATTTGTCGAAGTTTTTATAATTATTTATTTAATAAGTTTTGTGTGTGTTCGCCATGCGTTCGTCGTCGTGACAATTATTTATTTGCAATGCTGTTGATTTAATTGTTGCGTTTCGGAGCACAGAAAGTAGATTTAGAAAGGTGAGTGGAAATTAACACTGTAAAAGGAAAAGTGGTTAGTTGTAGAGAGTGTGCGTGGTTTCTTTTAGAATATAGAACAATTAATTGTTTTGCTTCTTTTAAATAGAGCTAAGATAGAACTATTTGTTATTGTTTTTTAAGAGTTTAGAAATATGAAATATTGTTTTTTTTGCATGATTGTTATTTTAACACTAATTTAATGCTATTTTTTGTCAAAGATTAAGTGGTTTCTTTTTCGTTCGCACGGAAATAGTTTTCTATACTCCAAAATTTTTTTTCTAAGCGTACATTAGGCTTATAATAATTCCATTTTTTTCAATAAAATTCATTGAATTACAGCTTATAGTGCAATTTCTGTTTAAGTTTTGGCATAAATTTTCATCTTATTTTGAAGAAGAAGAACTTGCTCATTTGTTGGAACCACCGATATCGGATCACTATAGCATATTGTTGTTATACAAACTGAACGATTGGAACCATGTGATTGTATAGAAAACTTTTTCGTTTTCAATAGTATAATCCGTTCATAATTGCTCAGATCTATTCACTATAGCATATAGCCGCCATACAAATTGACTAGTCAAAATTAAATTCTTTAAATTTTTTTGAGCCAAAACCGAAAAATCAAAATTCGCTGAGCGCACTGAAGGCCATCAAAGCCGAGTGTTGTAAAAAGCGTAAGGAAGTTTGATCAATTTATTCATTGGCTTAAGAGCCTATTGTGAGAGTGATGATGAAGATTTGTAGCAAAATACGTGAAAATGTAGTTTTTTTTGTCAGTCCGGGTCAAATGTGATCAGTTGGTATTTGCTCATGAAATCTTAGCATAGTTTTTTAATTTTTTTGTTAACATTGTGCAAAAAAAAAAATTTACAAAAAATACAAAATGCAAAAAGTTATTAAATATCCACTTTCGAATGCTTTTATATACAATACATATATAAATTTTTACATTTTTTCGGAATTGAAGACTCCTTATGAGCTCTCCTCTAACTGTAAAAGTTTGGCTTCTATATTTTTTTTGAAATCATAATATGTTCTAATAAAAATTTAAAAAAATTTCTATTAAATTGTTAATATATAATTTTTTATTTTTTTTCCATTTACCTTAAATTATTAATCAAAATACAAAAACATTGTTTTTTTAACGTTTCATTGTAGTTCTTCCACTAGAATTTTTATTTCAATATTAATTCGCGCAAAATTATAAATATTTCCATACATTAATCTGCAGTGCGGATGCTGTTACATATATAAACAACCACATACATACACGCACATAGAAACACCACCAGTTGCACAGTTTGCTACTGTTTGCTGAACTCATAAACTACGCTTCATTTTAGCGCACAAGTTTATATGATTTGTTGTTGCTATTGCTTTTATATGTTATTGCTTGCAAAAAATACCGCTATTCTGCTGCATGCTCAATCATACGCTTCATTCAAACCACATCGACGTTTACAGCAGTTTACAAGAACAAAACCAAGGCATACAGCACGAAACTGGAGGCTGGCTGATTGGCACCGCGCTTGCCGTGGCAGTGAACGAACGAAAGACTGAAGCAACGAACTTGTTTTGCTGCATTAATGCAGCGGCAAATATTGCCAGAGCACACACGCGCACACACACACAAACACATACATACGAACAGTCATGTGCAAACTTTAGTTTTCTCCAACTTAATTATTGGTGTTAATGTTGTTGTTATCATGCATGTGTTGTTGTTGTATACATGTGTGTAGTGCACTGATTGCTTGCACATACACTTATGGTGATTGCTGAACTGTTTGTTGTTTTTGTTGTAGTAATGCACAGGGTGACCGGCAGTCGGTTACGCGTTGAGTGGCAAATTCGCTGGTAAAGCTGATAATTTATGCTTATTATGAGCATGAAATGCAATAAGAATGGAATGTGCAAAATGCAGTAGCAAAATAGTCGATGAAGAACTGCGGCGCAAGCGTAAAATTATTGCAGAAACAAATTGACGAATATGCGCCATGTGTCTCTACGCATGCGCAAGCACTGTAGGTAAAATAACAGCAAGTTGAAGAGAAATTAAGTAATAAATACAGAAAGAAGAGAAAAGAAGCTGCGCGCAGCAAAAACATAAAAACAGCGTGAACATCACCGAAAAGAACGGTCATTTTCGAGCGTTGCGGCAAAAACGCGGTAAAAAAGGTAAAGCGGTCCAAAACTGAACAGTAGACTAACAGACAATGCACGCCGGTCATGATAACTAACTGAATCAGGCGCTGCCGAAGTGGGTTGAGGGACTTGCACACCACTATAAGTCTGTGTATACATATATAAATAAATGCATGTGTGTGTGTGAGTATAAGTGGTAAATGGCTATCAGCGACAACAATTGGCTGCTGTAAGCGTTCGGCTGGTCCGGTAAACTAACTGTCTGCTCGAGCGTTTCGCTTGCAAACCAAAGCGAAATGAAGGCGCGTACCCGCAACGATTTGCACAGAAAGCCCACATATCGGCCAAAGACACTAATTAACACATTCTGTAGTGCCAGTTATTTACTAGGTAAGCGATTTTTCTTCTTCGCATACTTTTCTGATTTATCGTGTATTTTATTTATTTTATTGTGTGCAGTGTTTGTATGAAACACAAAGTGTTGTTGCTTGTTGGGACATTAATATGTAGGATAACTGTGCTTTAAACAGCTAGATTTGCTTATACTGTTAGAATGTTAACGATTAATGGTTGACAATTATGTTGGATTTACCTTTGATTTAGCTATGAGTTATCTTTCATAACATAATTACTAATCTTTAATAGCTAACAGTGTCTCAGCTCATAAGAATTTCATAAAGTTACAATTTTCCAACTGAATCTTACAGTATTGTGCACAGTGTTGCAAATTATATAATTAAAAAAAAAATAATTGAATTAAAATTTTAATTTAATTTTTTTTTATATTTTGTAATCCCAAATACTTGATTAAAAAATATACAAAAAATTTTAATCCCGCATACCGCATAAAACAAAAGTTTAATCCCAAAAACCGAATTAAAAATTTATTATTTGAAAAATAAAAAATAAAAATTTTTACCTCAAGAATTTAATTAAGAATTAAAAAACATTTTAAATTTTTAATCCCAAACATCTTGGGAACTTTTTACTCGACCTAATATATATATATATGTATATATGGTAAGTATACAAGTATATATAAATGTGTGATTGTGTTTTTTTTTGTGCATTATAACTTTATATGCTTGTTTCTTTAAGCCATGAAATTAAGGAAATTTCAGAAAAAGCATTCTATGTTGGTTTGGAATTACGAGTTTGAAAAAATTCGCAAAAAAAAACACCGTGTTAATGAATTGAGTTGCTTTTATATTGCTCAATACTGTAAGTTTACTTCTTACACACAAAAAACTCTATCTTACTCAGAATTTCCATATTTATTGTCTGCAAATCAGCTCTTAATAGCATTTAGGGATAATGTATTGTACTAAATTTTTTAACTCCAAGTTTTAATTATGTTTTGATCGTTAACTCACTTGGTCTATTTTAAATATAACAATTTTATCATGAAATGTCTTTACTTACTATTTGTCCTCTCGATATTAAGAAAAAATCTTCGAAAATCCCTTTTCATAATTTTTACAAATTTTTTAATGTTTTTTACCATATAATAAAAATTCTATACGGGGGAGTAAGTTTATTAAATCTAAATTCGCCAAAGAAGATTAATATTAGCTCGAGTAACAGTAATCAAGAGTTTTAATCAATTTAAAGTAATAAATAAAGTAAAAAAACAAATAATCAAAAACTCTATCATGAACGTGTGGTAAGGCTTTGCTTTCTACAAGTTGTATTTGTTTACTCTTCAATGATGATTACAAGTAATTTTGAGCCTCAAACCCCTTAACAATATGTTTGGGTGGTCACTTTATTAAAAAAATTATATATAGGCAACCAAATTTATAAACGAAAGTATTTTAATATTTTCTGATATGTATTTTATCACAAAACGGAAATTTGGACTATATCAAAACAGAAATTGTAATGAGTTACTTGAACATTGCGCTGGTATGCCTCATGTCATACTCAGCCACTTATAAAATATTTTAAAAATTTATTGCATGCTAGAAATTAATAAATCAATCATATGTGCGTTAATCAATTAATTGAAAAATCACAATACTATATTCTATGAATTGAATAATATAAGTATAAAAATTGTTATTTTATAGTCATAAAAATTTTCAACTAGAATGTGAACTTAAACTTTATAGATATATTTTATTCAGGTATTCGTAATATCAAGAAGCTAGTAAAATAGCGTGAATTGATTAATTCAGCAAAATAATTTTTTTTTAAACGACGAAGTGATGCAAAAAAGCTTAGATTAACATTATTTGTTTATATCTACAATTTATAAAAGAGCCTAATTAAGATAAAAATAATTCAAAAACTTTTGTTTCGAAATTTGCAAAAAAATTAAGTATCCAAAAAATCAAATTAAAAGATTTCGAAAATTTTCATACAAAAAAAAGCAGTTATTTTTTTGCTAATTAACAGCGTTTATAGTGTTTTTTTATAATATATATATTGAACTAAACAAATGGCTGGATACCAAAAAATAATTACTAAATTGTATTAATATGAAATAGGGCTCCTATTTTCCCATATTAATTCCTTTTTATGACAAGGAGCTATGTTTCACAGTTTTCGTCAATTAATCCTTTAGCATGGCAGATTCCATTTTTCTATTATCCTTTTTTTATACAATTTTCACAATATACTATTTTTAGTTTTCTTTCTTTCATTCACTTTGATCGAGGAATAAATTGTTTTTGTGTATTTATTTCACATATCATTGTAGTGTTTTCACTTATAATTCAATTTCAATTTACTTGTACTTGCTCCGCAAATCCTTTCACTTCAGTGCCACTTAGCACACTTAAATATTTCTTTCGCTGTTTGAAATCGTATTTTTGCAAAGAAACGTTGAATTTTATTGTTTTTAGTTCGTATTTAATTATTTAGTTTGTCACATTTTTTCCATTAAAAAACTAACAACAAATATATACGTCATATTCTCACTATTTCTTATTTTTATAGCACACACTTTGTTTCGACCTCGGCTAAACACGCAGCACCGTTATAGAACCGCACAATTCAAGCTTTTGTAAAAATTCCGAACGAGTTTAATTTGTAGTGCGCTCATACATGTCAGTATGTATACGTGCATACGTATAATAATATATTATGTTTTCTTTATGTTCGGTGCACAAATGTCCAATGAAAGAAGCGAAGTCAAGTCACTACAGCGAGCTGCCGCACATGCGTCCATCAGCGTGGACGTTCAACGTATGAGTGTGTGCTGTCGCTAGTGCTGGTGTGAATTGCTTGTACGCGCTGTCGTGCTGCCGAGATAACGGACCACGCTTTTGTGCAACTTTCACTTTAGCAGCAGCAGCAGCGGCGGCAGCGACAGCAGCAACTTGGAGCAAAGTTTGCCCGAATATAACTTGCTTGCATACTAGCTGCTAGTGCCGGCACAATAAGGCTGACAATAACAACATAAATGAAGAAAACAAAACATTTATAATGTAGCAACAACAACAGCAAGCCGTTTCATTGCTTATTGCTGACTGTCACTGCCGCTTTTGTGTTGTTGTCTTGTTGCTGGCACTGCTATAGCTGGCTGACTTTCTTACTAGCAATGTTGTTGGCTCACTTATAATGAATGAGTAACGCCAACAAGCTGTGAGTATATGCAGAACGTGATAGCGTTTGCGTTGGAGCGCTTGTGGGAGAGAGCGAGTGTGAGCGCGTTTGCGTAGTTGAGATGTTTTCGGGAGTTGGTGTAATCAATTTTTATTTAAGAATGTATATTTTTTCTTTATTTATGCAATACTTTGTGAGAATTTTTTTTGTTGTGTTCTTTACATTAGGTAATATAAATTAGGTATTTTTTCAGATATGTGTAATATTTATTAAATGTAATATAGTTTTTTGGTTTCATTCGATTAGTTGCTCTAATTTCGGATTTAAAAAAATCGCATATATTTTGATGAATTTTTTACTATATGTATAGTTTTATATACCTTTTTAACTAAATTTTTTTTCGATAAAAAAAAGTTAAACTTTAAAAAAAATTTTTTGGTTTTGTTTTGTTATAGATTACGTTAAAATTAAATATAAATTTTCGTGATATAATTACTGAATTTATTACAAAATTTTGCTAATTTTTTTGGATATTTAGACAGCAATATTTTAAACCTTTTGCAAACAAATTTTGTGGACTTTCTTAGTTTTTGTTCAAAAAGCCTTTTAAAATATCAAAATAAATATTTATGTAAATTTTTGACACTTTTCTCAACTTTTCAAAAATTAAAAATTTATTTAAAATTTAAATTCTTTTCAACAACAGTTTAATTTTTTTTACCATTTTTATTTATTTATTTTTTAATTTTTTTACACAGTTTTAATTAAGGCATTTATACAAAAAAATTTATAATAAAATTTTTTTTAATATTTATTTAGAAGTATTCATACTATAGTATTCAATTTTATAAAGCTTTTAAAAATATTATAAATTTTTTTAACTTTAATAAAGCGTTAGTTAAGGATTACATTTTTAAAAAAGTATTTAAACCTTTGTTTTTGTAATTTAAAAAAAAAAAAATTTAAAAAAAAGTTGGTTTTAATTAATTAAATTTCATATATTAGTTAAAATTGTTTTAAGAGTAATATCTTTGTTTTTAAGGTTCAGTATGGATGATCGAAAATATGTTATTTCTTGACGTTACTAAGACGAATTATTTTGTTCGAAATATTTATTGTATATACAAAAGTATTTGTATGTATATCAATGAATGTAAAAAACAACTTAATACATTGGCAGAACTCTTTCAAAAAATTTTAATTCTAATTGTTAACGTATAACTTAGTTAAAGCAATTAAAAGCTCTATGTTATTAAATGTGTTGAGATCATATGCATTTTGCTGCCAAATACTAGAAAAAATATTTTATTTATTTAAAATATTGTTTTTCCAAAACTTCTTCACCTTCTACAAATCACTTCCAATTTCTCAATATTCCTGTATTTTATCATAATCGCTTGAAACACCACGTCCAACACGCTCTTTTCTCTTTCGCCGCCACTATCACTCAATTCATTGCATATTTGGCTTTCCTGTTTGTTTACATTTTTCTCATTCTGCAAATATGTTTTTACACCGTAGTCACTACATACAAATTTCTAACGGTATTCTAATGACAACGGTATTGTTGTTATATATTTTTCTTGGTTATTTTAAAAGCGGTCACTACTATACTTGGCCAATCACAACCAAGTTCGTGGCTTAAGTCTTTTGTACGACCACAAGCGATTCGCTTTAATTCACAGTTATTTATTAAATGATTACATAATTTTTTAAATTATTAAATATTATTACAAATTTACGTGCCTAATTCCTTTCCCGCATGCTCCCTTATTATCGTCGCATTAAAGTTGCACGCCTGTTTAAGAGCCGTATACATGAACGTACCGCACGCGTGCGCTTACCAAACTCGACTGAAACGGTTGGCAATCGGTGCAAGACATTAAGTGTGGTGAGTGGTTGTTAGCTAGAGCATTCGATGCGCTACAACTGTGGTTAGCTTCTTCAGCATTAGCCTTCAATTCGCGGTCGGCTCTTGGCAGTGGTTTGTGTGCTGTTATTAACAGTGTGCTGTTAATCGTTTTTTGGCTTTCTTTCCGCTGCTTGTGTTTGCACTGAAATGCATTTCGTTTGCAACAAGTCACTTCTGTGTGTATGTATGCGCTTGTTTGACTGTGCCAGTTGGCACGTGTTGCAAGTTGTATTGTGTTTGATGTGGCGCTTATTTAGTGAAATTCTTGCATTTCTGCTGTGAAACTCTGTATGCTCCGTAGTTGTAATACCACGTTTTGTAGGCGGTCCATCCGCTGGTTAACTAGTTTGTTCGACTGCCTATTTGTTTGCTTGTGGCAAAGTGGCGCTTATTATACTGCCGACAGTAATTGCATGTTGTTTTGTGTTCTCATTTAAAGTTTTTGTTTAAATAACATATCTATTTATGTATGGATGTATGCAAATATTGAATTGAATAGCATTGCTAATTGAGTGTGGTTTTATGCTTCATTTATTAGAGAAGTATGACAATTTCAGCCATTTCATGCATTTATTTATTACTACGTTACTTTTTTTATTTTATTTTATTTTTTTTTCAACTGAAACCACTGTTTCATACATTAAATATTTATATTATTTGACATATGTGAATTCAGCGAACATTTGAAATATGTGAATATAAGCCACTACAGAATTTATATTTTCTTTTGATGTAAAAGGTTAGATTTAATTTTTTCATATTTCGATGGGTTATATCTTTAAAAATAATATACTAAAATTTGAAATCAATATTTGAAAGAGGTTTTAGTTACAGCTTTCTAAAGTGTAGACGATTTTTGATTTTTTTTTACTGAAAATATCTTCTAGTGAGACTTTTATTTTAGCTTTCATCCACAAAGAAGGCCGGAATCAGTGCAACAGTGAAACAACTTTGTTAAGCGCCTTCGGAGATAATGCAGTTTTGTTTATAATTCGCAAAAATCGACTTTAATATAATTAAACTATTATTTTTAATTGTAATATTTGCGCCCAAACGCTGATTTTATAGTTATGTCATAAATTTGGGCATTGCTGCCAGATATTGTAAGCAGCACTTCCCAAAAATGCTGTTATAGTATCTAACACTAGTCTACCAACCACTACAATCCAGTAGCCTTCCGGAATAGGAGTGTTAATACATAATACGGCTAAGGCTCCAAATTTCAAAATTAATCTTTCCAATTGGGCTCGTTTTCAGCTTTGCATATAGTTTACGAGAAATGGCTTGACTTAAATATTTAGATGTAAATTATGAGATATAAAATTTGTAAAATCAAAATAACAAAAATGTTAGTGGTAGATAAAATTTCAAGTGAACAGATCCGATAGTCTATGATTATTTCTGAGTCACAACGTCAGCTTTTGTATAAAATATGTTTTGCGAATACGCGCTTTTTGTTGTAAAGACGTGTTAAAGCCGACTGACCCAAACGTTTTGAGACTACAGTTATTGCATACAGTCTATTTCTGCAGTCGATATTGATAGTTGTTCCAGATTAATCCATGATTTTCGTCGTTTAGGATTCTTAAAATAAATCCATTTTTCATCGCCAGTGATAATTCGATGTAAAACCGATTTTCTTTCATGTCTTTGTTGCTTCTGATGGATCATGATCACCATATGCCTCGAGAAGCATTCGATGGGATTCTGCAGTACTTCTCTTCAAATGGAAATGAAAAAGGAATGCTTTCCGCAAATCATGACTTTGCGGTACAAAAGTTGACATTTTCAACACAATAAAAAAATATGATGTTGTGTGTTTAATGACTGTACGGTTACTCAATACGTTTGACAGATGTGATGCCTACCAAATTAAGGCTCGTTCACAAGAAATGTTCAATACCAACACATTTGTATCTTAACGCTCACTTCATACCGGGACACCTGGTAAACCTATTTATCTAACATAATTTTTGGTGTTTTTCTTCAGAGTTTTATACCGTTACTAGTAGTTTCGTAACGAAAAATATTTTGCAAGTTTTTGCAAAGTGAGTTTAAATGATGAAATGGTGGAAAACGTTTTATAGTTTATGAACCTTTTCAGAGTGCCAAGTTCTTCTCACGATTGAATAAATTGTGTGTTTTTTTAGACATGTGATTTTCAAGATGAAATTAAACACATATAATTTAATGTTAGCTTTATTATAAAGATAAGGGTTTGCCATTACGTTTAAAAAAAAAAAAAATCAGCTCAAAACATGTTTTCGACAAAAACATCATTAAAATCAAACATTATTTATATAATATTTCATTTCATAATTCCATTCTTTTCTAAATTATTGCGAATTTTTTTTTAACCAAATAAATTTAAGCCACAAATAATTTTATTATTTGAAGATATGTTGTGTAATTATCTGTAGTTCAAATTCTAGTTTAATAAGAAGTTT